CAATCATCAGAACCTCTGATGATGTAGACACTGATCTGTTCTTGAAAAATATTGGTGTCTGTCTATTCTAAAGGAAAGAAAAAACTCAGAAAACAGGCAAAATTGGGCACAATGTCTTTAAGTTGAGGGGAAGCATATGTTGTGCTTTGTCGTCTTTGAGCTGTGTCATGTTTCAGACTGAGCGGGATCACAGCGTCTGTGGGTAAACAATGTCATATCACTTTACAGAGTGTGGCTGAAGTTAGCAGTGCTTGTCACACCAGCCTTCGGTCCTCCCTGCAGGTTAACATTCACATTTCTGTGCTGAATGTGGCTACACGTTTTTGTCCGCCTACATACTTTATCTCTGTTTTGTAGATCAAAAATCTGCGCTGCTATTTGTCCCCTCTCCTTGTTTACATCCGGGCGATAGAGCGAGGAGAGAGGGCCTAATAACTGGGGCTACAGCCGGTCTATGGCTACGCCCCGGGCTGCTTTGAGCACAACATTTGACTGACATTGTCAGCCAATATATACAAATATTTATACTTCATGTAACAGACTTGTACATTTGGGGTGGACTAGCTTGGGTGAGAACATTTAATTATTTATTCGGCTAGTCACGCACATCTGTGTGTCAGAGCAGCGGACAGACTGGAGTCAGTCAATCAATCAATCAAAATGTATGTCATCTAACTATTCATCTGTCCATCAAAATTATTTTTGGTTTCATAACAACAACTATTAGTTTCATGTGTGAACCTAAACAGAAGTATTTTGTCCTGGGTTTACCTGGACTTTCTCTCTGAAGTAAATTCTCTGTGTGACATTGGGATGATCTGATGTGTGGATGCATTCACATCAGTTCACTGCAGGCGAGTGGGAGGTGTTAATGACTTTTATCACATGACCAGTGAGCAACTGGTGTGATCATGGCGCACGTGATAAAACAGCTTCATACCCTTTGGCATTCCAGTAAGTTATTTTCCCTGCACTGATTGGTTGATACATTGAAAATGTACAATTAAAAATAGTATTGATATAAAGGCAATAGATCTGTTGTTGTAGTGTGGAAATCTGTCATCCACCTCGCCTGACAGTTTCTTGAGTGCATGTGTGAAAACAGTTTTAGAGAAACAGAAGGTCTGAAAGTGGATCTAGTTTCTGCTTTGCACATGCATATCTGCACTTGAGTGAAAGAAGCTGTGATACTGGGAGTTAAAAGGAAATACGGTTAGGACAGAGGAGGTAAAAGCATTGGTAACTGACATGAAAGACACCCTCAGAGGAAGACTGAATTCCTTGAATGTTTTTAAAACGTCCACCTCCTCTACCTGCTGTGTGATCAACTCTAAGTGATCAATGACAGTTAGATTGATCCATTGCTCTTTACAGCTCAATGGATTGTATGTGACCATCCTGTATATTATGTGTTCTATATATGTTATCTCTTTGTGTTTTCAGCCTCGGCCTTTCACAGCAGTATGTGAGAAACAGCTATTCAATCATTTACTCTTTGATATTTGAGCAGATTTTTTCTTCTAGAGACTAAAACAAACTTCACCAGTGGGCCCATTGAAACAAAATGTGAATCTTTATTACCACACTTAAGAATAGGAGGCATCTTACCGTCCTCCTACTGATTTCTTTTGTAAATCTTTCCTTTGTTGGGCTGTGGATAGCTGTTTGTTTGTTGTTTGTGTTGTTTATTATCATAGTGTTGTAGTGGCAGTTTCAGCGGTCAGTATTGGCTGGCTGTTAGGGCTGCAACATGACCTTGACTTGTTCTGCTGTTTTCCCGCAGCAGACTGCTCTGCTGCTCTTTGCCTGGCTGGCTGGCAGGCAGGCTGACATACAGTGAGGCCATTGTGGTCTTGTGCTTGTCTGGCATTTTCAAACACTGACCGCTCTACTATCTCATCCTTGAGCATGAGCGGATAAAGACGGAGTCTGTCCTGCTACTACTCACTGAGACTGAATGACTGTCTTCTACTCGCCCTCTCCAGAGCAGGGACACACTGCAGAATAATCTGCAGATTTACTTACACAGAGGATGAGAGAGTGACTAGCTGCAGTACTGCATAATCAAAGGACAGATGGGCAGCTGGGAAGGCAAAATAATCAAAACAAATGGACATTTAGAGATGCATTTCCAGGTCATTGGAACACATAAAAATCAATAATAGAGATCGATCAAATGTCCTCACTACAGGCTATTTTGTCCTGGACTGTGGGCAAGCTAAGTTGTGGGCAAGAGATGTCATCGGAGGGAAAATGTTCCCCAATGGTAAACAAGCTCATGTTACACAGGTTTTACCTATCAATATATATAGAAAAAAACACAAGCTATCATTTGTCAATGCAGTGCCTATTCACATTCAATCAGTTTGACTGAAGACATTAGATATAATTTAAGTGTTTAAGTGCAGCAGACTGTTTCAAAAGATGGATGACAGGGCGACGGAAGCACAGTGGTTAGTGCGCACGGCCCGTATATAGAGGCTATAATCCTCCAAGCAGCCGGGTTAGAAAACCCCATTCTCTCTCTCTCCCGATTTTTAACTCTATCCACTGTCCTATCTCTAATATAAAGGTACAAATAGACCCAAATAAATATCAAAAAGATAGATGAAAATGACAATACCTCAAAATTAAAGGCAAAACATCTCAATTGCCCCCTGGTGACTGGCTGCAGAATAAGTCATAAGGCCTGCATCCTTTATGTAAACATGCAACATAGGTCACACTACAAATCAAAACATTGGGATAGACATCTCATTTAGCAAGCCATGTGTTTTTTTCTCTCAGTCAGACTCGGCTTTTCAGCAATTGTTGGCCACCCATGTCAAGTATTTTGAGGGGCAGGTTAAATCATTTTGAAACAGGAGCTACTAGTTAAACAAGTATAGGCTCTGCATTGACAGTTTTCCACACATGAACAACACTGTTGTTGCTTTCTCTGATTTCTTTATTAGATGTCCAAAACCAAATTTTTCCTTTCAATTGCGATGCTTACATCGAGATATCAGTAAACATCAACTTCAGATCCACTACCAGTGTGACATTTAAAAAAGAATATCAATAATAGCTGTAAACTGCTCACCCTTTAGAGAGGTTATGTGGTTGATATTATTGTTGAATTAAACAAATACAGAATAAATTCCATAAAAGTATTTGCTCTAAATTTCACTGCCAGTTAAATTTTCTGAAAAACAATAAATAAAATAGGAATTAAAAAAATCTGCAAAACAGCACAGATGTGAAAACAAAAGTACAATTACACACAACTTAGCCTCAGCCTTTCTTCTTACTCTTCCAGACTTGCTTAGTTTGCAGATTGTCAGGAAAAATACAGATTTTCAAAGTGAAACTGCTTCAAGCAGCTCTGACTCACTTTGCATGCTCTCCTTGCACTGTCAGTGTTTCTTATTGTAACAAGACTAATAACTAGAGGTGGGCGGCATGCCCTGAAATTTACATTACCAGTGTTTCCCCTAGGTTTACAGTGTTGGGGGGGTGGGGACAAGCCGACATGCCGACACTACGACACGGCGACAAGACGACACGACGACACGACGACACAAACACTTGAAGGAATCTTGGTGTTCATGTGTTACTTTTAATGACAGATGTCCTTTTCTATCAAAAAAGGACATCTAAATCTTAAAAAAAATATATATATATATAATTTTCTTTCTTTTTTTTTTTTTACTTGACCTTCAAGGGGGCGGGCCGCCCCCCAATATAATGGTAGGGGAAACACTGCATTACGGTTCTTTTTATAGTAACATTATTATATCGCAGTATTACAGAATTGAAAAAGATCTTTCATGTGATTGTATGTTCAACCAACACGACCCCCTTTCTCCCCCTCAAACAAGCCTGTGATGCACGAGACCAGACAAAGGTGTCACTTTGAGTCCACTTCTGTTGTAGCTTGTGACTGAATCTGTTGTAAGTCTCTCCTGTGATGTTGTGTTAAGCTGCTGCTGAAAGCACCACATTCCTGATATGGCTGTTTCATAAAAAAGCATTTCAACAATATAATAAGTGGGAACTTTATTGTGACCAGTTTGTCAGAAATGAAATGTGTAAATTGTCAAATTAACCGAGCTTTAGCGGAGCTACAATTAGCAGCAAGTAGGGAGTAACGGTACTTACAGCTGATGACCACGAGTCATAGCCTCAGCCCAATTCTTTAAGTCATCTTGGAGTTGAGTTGAAACGCACCTTCAGCAGGTAGACCCGTTGTCATGGAGACGCAGTGAACACAGCTCTGCTCTTCAGTGTCAGAGGGAAACCTGCAAAAGACTGAACTCAATTTGAGCCATTGTCTTCACAAATTGCTTTATCACACTTCATTTACTTAAACGCCACCGATGCTGGTAGGTTGAGCAAATGCTGGCATCGATGTTGACTTGAGTCCTCTACAACACAACCGGCAATGGCGGTATTCAGAAAACCATGTTGTGGCACAACACAATACCAGAGACGGTATTGAAACAGTTAGACTGCCCACCCCTACTAATAACCTGAAATGTGTTTTTTTCCCTCTCTAAATGAATAATTGAGGACAGAAGCTGTGGCTGGCCTGATCATAGACAACATTGGAAAGGCCTCCCTGCAGAATGTAGAGGGTTGGCAGTAACTTGGTGTCCAAATTGGCGGGAAAGGCAAGGTTGACTTACACTTAAGACACTTGGTGAATTTCCAGGTGTCTCTTTAAAAAGTGAGGATATTCTACTTCTGGTCTAGTAATAGCATCCTGAAGGGAGAAACATTTTCTAGTACAGAAACAACAGAACAAGCTGTTCAGCTGAACATGAAGGGGCTGCTCTTTATCTTTCCCAATATTGATTGCAGGTGCTACAAGAAGAATCATTAAGGTTGTTCATGGTAATCATGGTTTCCAGGATTTGGCCACGATGATTTGGATGATTTAGATTTAGAGGAATAAAAAGTCAAGAGGAATATATTTCAGATATTTAAATTATTCATTTTTCTCTCTCGTCATGTCGTAGGCTTTCAAAGAGATGCTGTACGCTGCTCAGGACCAGGCCCCGTCCATTGAAGGTATTTCATGTACACACACGCGCACACACACACACACACACAAGCAGACTCGCATACAAGGAGTACGCTCCAACATTGGTTGGTCGTTAAGGATGTTACTATGTGTTAATGTGAACCAAATATAGTTAGGTGCTCTGAGACCATTAGAATTCTAATTAGGGGGCTTGAAATTATTTATTAGGAATAACCCCTTGAGATGGGTCATCTCTTTTTACAGGGGGTCCTAGAATACAGAAATGTACAAAGCACAGAAAAAGTAGACAGGACGTTTGACAGCACAAGACGAGAAAGAAGAAAAAAAAAACAGCAACAAAACAAACGACTTAATGTTGAATGAAGATACATAATCCGGGGAACCTACTCAAGGCAGAACATAAAATGGAGTGGATTGTCCACTCACAGGTCATAAACAAAGACAGTGAAATATAAAATAAAACTTGATAATAATATTTTAGAGATGAAAAGACGAGACATTTTTGAACAATTGGAGAGATGAAATCCACCGAAAATGAACAGATAAACTATTCCAATCTGAGGGAGCTTTAAACATGAAGGCTTTCTTGGCTGTTGCTTTTGAGACTGTTAATTTAATTTAATTTAATTTAATTTAATTTTATATATAGTGCCAGATCACAACAGATTCAAATATCATTTCTTAACTCAAGCAAGCAGCACTTTCCTTCTAAAAGCCAAATCAAAACACACTTTCAGAGCCTTAAAATTATCATGTATCAGCACACTTGTCTTTGATATAACTCAAGTTTTTGAGTTTAAATAGTTTAAGAGTGGATTCATCTTTGAGTCCTTCCTGGTGGTGCGTTCAAGTGCTGTCCTGAAAGTAGAGTATATTTTGATGTTTTGACACACAAGAGATGCTGTCATAAGTTTAAATATAAGTTTCTATAACTTATCATTTTTCTGATCCATAGAGGAGAAGGACCTGTATACTGGTTTATAAGGATGTAACATATCAAAACCTCATGCTGCGATAAAGAGTCCCTTTAATAAAGAAAAAAAAGATGCACCAGCTTGACTTTGTAAACAAATCAGTCAAACTTACAGTTTAACACCTCTCATTATTTTTAACCTTCGCTGTAGTACTTCCTGCTGACCTCGTAGGTTAGGTTGACGTTTCCTTTAGAGTATTCGGCATGGCTGGACTTTTTTCCTCGCTTTCTAAAATTAATCGTGGTGATGAATTGCATGTGGCTTCTTAAATTTCATGTATTTCCTGAGGTTTAGGTCACCGCAGTCTGGCAGTATCTGCATATTGTTTTTTGTTTGTCTCATATCTTGACACGGGGAAACTAAAATGCTTCCACAGGTCAGGTTTAAAAGCAGCTGGAGAATCTACAATTTCAAAATGGTCTCTCTTTTCTCCCTCTCCACTAACATCGGCGTGTGCCATTTTTGCAGAGTGCAGAGGATGATGAGGGCACAAGGCATGATGGTCTTGTAGTTCCCACTTTCCTCTGCTCTGCTCCACTGCAGATGAAACAAAACTACACTTTTTTTGCCTTGAAGACCTATTGTTGCATACCGTCACAGATCCACAATCACCGTTTTTCATAAATAATATGAAGTTCAAACATGGGTTGCTAGTCTACAGCTACAGCAGGTCAAAACAAAATGAAACAATTCAAAAACTGCTGTAATGGCACCTTCTTCTTGAAATGCTTGTTTTGCAACACCCAGTAAGGCAGCAAGATTGGCACATGCAATCTTTAAACGTTTCCAATGACTTTTTTTATGTGGTGCTGCCTCATGCTGCATTATTGCTTAATTATGTGTCTTGTAAGATTCACTTACAACAGCCACAGAATGACCAAAATGTGAGGCTCCAAAGAGTCTTTAAATGTCTTTGAACCAGTTGTTAGAGGCCTTATTTTTAATCGTGTAATAACAGGCCTCGGCATGCTCGTGCATTGCACTCTTTAAGCAATACAGCAACTGGGACTGGCCCTCTTTGTCTTGTTCTGGTCTTTTTCCTTTCATATTAAGCCTGATTTACAGAGGTGGGTAAAAAAATCGATTCAGTACAGTATCGCAATATTTTGTGTGGCAATATTATATCGCCTCATGGCAGCCGAGTATAGATATTTTGATGATGTTGTATGATGTTTTGGTTATACTTTTTCATTTTTAACTGCTGAAGGGGTTTAACAATTCATTTTGAACAAGTCACATTGTTAAGAATTCATGTTAAAGTTCAGACTGAAATACAAATAAACAGACTGAAGTGAGATGAACAGACTGAAAATGTCATCTGATTTAGTGTAGTGGACATAATATGCAGTTAAAAAAGTTAAATCGCAATATATTGTATCTCAATTCTCAGGATATCGCAAAATGTTATAAATTGCAATAGAATCGTATCGTGTCTTGCGATAATATCGTCGTGGGATTTGGTGTTTTCCACCCCTACTGATTTACTGTATACGTCTGCGTCGAATGTACGCCATAGCTAAGGTCACAGGTTTGTTTAGCCCTGTACTGACGAAGAAGCCTTCAAACATAGCCTGACGTGCACCTCCTTCAAAATATAACTACCCATCTAAATGACACAACCACAAGCACCTGTGATTGGTTGGTTGGGTAGCATTGTATTTTCTGCATACAACACTTCCAGTATCACCGCCATTTTAAAATTATGCAGAAGGAAAACCCTAAAAGCCAGTATAATCAACTACTGCTAGATATTTATCATAATGCGCTCAGTTACGAAACTAGCCATATAACTAGCAAATCTGACTGGGAACACGGGTTTGGAGGCGGAGTATTGCAGAGCTACACTGACACACCAAGGCACATTGAGGACGGCGTAGGCCACTATGGCGTTCATTTGATGCAGAGGTATAAGCCAGGCTTTGTTCTTACAAAATGTGGTTTGAGTGATCTCTATTTTTTAGAGATATCATGCAGTGGAACATAATATCGTCTGGTGAATCTCTGCCAGCCACAAAACAACATACAGGGATGTGGTTCTCTTTATCTGGAGGTCCAGATTTATGAACTGAAATGTTGAATTTGTTAATTTTTTAAAAATTCTTAGAAGATTTTCATCTTAGACTGAAGAATCGTTCTCTACTGCTCGAGTTTGTGTAGCATCTCTGAGCTAGGCGTGTGATCAGAAAGAGAGAGAGAGATTTTTTATGAACTCTAATTTTTACTGCGTCATTACAACAAGTCTGCCCACACAGAACTCATCTGTTGTGATAACAGAATTGTGAAGTGAAACTCTGTAAACAGTAGTTGTGTTGTTAGGGCAGCTTTAGCGTACAGAGTGACAGCCAATCGTTGTTTTAAAGAACATACTGAGCTAGATGGATTTATGTGGTCATCTTCCGGAGAGAAAGATTCAATTCAAGATCCATTAGTGGACATTCTCCTCTCACTTCACCTGTTCTGTATCTGTTTAAATCTGTTTAAACCTGTTTAAACTGGATGTTGTGGGTCAGGTTTTTTACCCTATGACTCAGGCTCAGTGAGCTACATGCAGCCTTGTGTCTGTGTCTCCCTACGTAGTGTCTGTGTTATATACAGTCGTCTCTGATGGGGTGCTGTTTGTTCCATAACCATCCTCTGACTAATGAATAAACAGACATTTTTTTCAGTCATTTTTTTCTAATTTCCTCTTTGGTTTCTTTTTAAAGTTTCTCGGAGGAACAACGGAAAGCAATAATGTTTGGGAAATGATTCATGATGTATACAGGAGTCAAGAAGTCTTCATATTCTCAGGAAATCAGCTGTTTTGTAAACTTCCTTTTAGTACAGATGTATAGTTGCATCTTTCTTCATGTAGATGTTAGCTTTTCATGTAGATGTTAGCTCTTCAGTTAGATGTTAGCTCTTCAGGTAGATGTTAGCTCTTCAGTTAGATGTTAGCTCTTCAGGTAGATGTTAGCTCTTCAGTTAGATGTTAGCTCTTCAGTTAGATCTTAGCTCTTCAGTTAGATGTTAGCTCTTCAGGTAGATGTTAGCTCTTCATGTAGATCTTAGCTCTTCAGTTAGATGTTAGCTCTTCATGTAGATGTTAGCTCTTCAGTTAGATCTTAGCTCTTCAGGTAGATGTTAGCTATTCATGTAGATGTTAGCTCTTCATGTAGATGTTAGCTCTTCATGTAGATCTTAGCTCTTCATGTAGATCTTAGCTCTTCAGTTAGATGTTAGCTCTTCATGTAGATGTTAGCTCTTCAGTTAGATGTTAGCTCTTCAGGTAGATGTTAGCTCTTCAGTTAGATGTTAGCTCTTCATGTAGATGTTAGCTCTTCAGTTAGATGTTAGCTCTTCAGGTAGATGTTAGCTCTTCATGTAGATCTTAGCTCTTCAGTTAGATGTTAGCTCTTCAGGTAGATGTTAGCTCTTCAGTTAGATGTTAGCTCTTCAGGTAGATGTTAGCTCTTCAGTTAGATGTAGATGTTAGCTCTTCAGGTAGATGTTAGCTCTTCATGTAGATGTTAGCTCTTCAGTTAGATGTTAGCTCTTCAGGTAGATGTTAGCTCTTCATGTAGATGTTAGCTCTTCATGTAGATGTTAGCTCTTCAGGTAGATGTTAGCTCTTCAGGTAGATGTTAGCTCTTCAGGTAGATGTTAGCTCTTCAGTTAGATGTTAGCTCTTCAGGTAGATGTTAGCTCTTCATGTAGATGTTAGCTCTTCAGTTAGATGTAGATGTTAGCTCTTCAGGTAGATGTTAGCTCTTCAGTTAGATGTTAGCTCTTCAGGTAGATGTTAGCTCTTCAGGTAGATGTTAGCTCTTCAGGTAGATGTTAGCTCTTCATGTAGATGTTAGCTCTTCATGTAGATGTTAGCTCTTCAGTTAGATGTTAGCTCTTCATGTAGATGTTAGCTCTTCAGTTAGATGTTAGCTCTTCAGGTAGATGTTAGCTCTTCAGGTAGATGTTAGCTCTTCAGGTAGATGTTAGCTTTTCATGTAGATGTTAGCTCTTCAGGTAGATGTTAGCTTTTCATGTAGATGTTAGCTATTCATGTAGATGTTAGCTCTTCAGTTAGATGTTAGCTCTTCATGTAGCTGTTAGCTCTTCATGTAGATGTTAGCTTTTCATGTAGATGTTAGCTCTTCAGGTAGATGTTAGCTCTTGATGTAGATGTTAGCTTTTCATGTAGATGTTAGCTCTTCAGTTAGATGTTAGCTCTTCATGTAGATGTTAGCTCTTCATGTAGATGTTAGCTCTTCATGTAGATGTTAGCTCTTCAGGTAGATGTTAGCTCTTCAGGTAGATGTTAGCTCTTCAGGTAGATGTTAGCTCTTCATGTAGATGTTAGCTCTTCAGTTAGATCTTAGCTCTTCAGGTAGATGTTAGCTCTTCAGGTAGATGTTAGCTCTTCATGTAGATCTTAGCTCTTCAGGTAGATGTTAGCTCTTCAGTTAGATGTTAGCTCTTCAGTTAGATGTTAGCTCTTCAGGTAGATGTTAGCTCTTCAGGTAGATGTTAGCTCTTCAGTTAGATGTAGATGTTAGCTCTTCAGGTAGATGTTAGCTCTTCATGTAGATGTTAGCTCTTCAGTTAGATGTTAGCTCTTCAGGTAAATGTTAGCTCTTCATGTAGATGTTAGCTCTTCATGTAGATGTTAGCTCTTCAGGTAGATGTTAGCTCTTCAGTTAGATCTTAGCTCTTCAGGTAGATGTTAGCTCTTCAGGTAGATGTTAGCTCTTCATATAGATCTTAGCTCTTCAGGTAGATGTTAGCTCTTCATGTAGATGTTAGCTCTTCAGTTAGATCTTAGCTCTTCAGGTAGATGTTAGCTCTTCAGGTAGATGTTAGCTCTTCATGTAGATCTTAGCTCTTCAGGTAGATGTTAGCTCTTCATGTAGATCTTAGCTCTTCAGTTAGATGTTAGCTCTTCAGGTAGATGTTAGCTCTTCATGTAGATCTTAGCTCTTCAGTTAGATGTTAGCTCTTCAGGTAGATGTTAGCAAAGTTAACAAAGTTAGGTTAAGTCCTTTATACCTTCCAGATCAACCCATTTTTTCTGCAATTTAAATTTCTAAAACCCTTTTCACACATACGGAAATCCTCTAAAAAGCTCAGGAGATTACCCGGAGGGGGCTTTATATGTGAACAGCTGAATTTATTTGTTTGGACTTCACCCGAAGTTTCTCCTGCCAGACCCCTAGTATTTTTTCCGCAGCACTTCCAAGTGAGCTGATGTTAGAGCGCCGCAGGTTATTCTCCGGTGAATTCAGATTGAGCTAATAGGAGGGAGGGTGACGTTTATATTCTGTTACTGCTGCATGGTGCATAAAGTGTCTGCATGCGACCACTACGATCTCCGTGCACATAATTAGGCTTGTGTCATTCCACTCATTCCTCCACATTGCACCATGGACTCCATCTTTGTATAGTCCTCTCTGTGTGAGTGACTTATCAGCTCCTCTGTTTAACAAAGTATTGTCTCTTAAACTGATGCACACCTCTGCACTGTTTGTCCAATGTGTGAGAGTAACGCATGATGTTGCTGAAAAATGGACCTAAAAAACATCAATTGTGAACAGAAAAGTATAGCCTATCACAGAGACAGACATGTCATAATGGTCATAATGATAATAATCATGATGTAGTGAGCCGAGACACGATGAGAAAAGAGTAGAATAAGTCCAAAAAGGGATAAGGAGATTACTGTAGTCTGCCTGTGGCGACTGTTTGTGTGTTTGTGCACTGGTGTGGGAGAGAGAGGGAGAGGGAGTGGTCCCGGCCCTCCAATTTAGTTAATTTGGTGTCTTGTTTAAAAGCAGCCCGTCTGAAACACAGTGAATCACTGAGTGTGCCGAGTCCGGCTCCAAACCACCTGCCCTGCCTGTTGTTTGGTTGTTATTGACGTGACAACAAGTTTGTGGTTGGACACACAGGTTCTCCATGTCCACTGTTTAATTAAAGTTTACACAAATCTGCCCAAGCTTCTGATCTCAAGCATCAAAGACGATTAAAATGACAGGATCGTGTTCTTGTGAGACACACATAAATGATGTCATGTGACTTTTTATGGATCTTTTTGAAAACAATGATTAGGCCCTATAAAAAAATATTGTTATATATATATATATAGATTCAGTTGTTTTTCCTCCCAACATTCATGTTACTTTTCTAAATGTTCTCCTGTTCTCATCAAAAGAGCCTCAAATCTTGTTGTTGTGTATGAACACACTTCACTTTAATTGACCCTGTGCACACATATACACCTTCACCTCTGATCTCTTATGACACACACACACACACACACCCTGCCTCTTTGTGTTTCTCTCCCTGGAACATTATTTGTTTGCTCTGTTGACTTTCTTCATCAGTGTACGTTTTTGTAAGTTTTAAGGAAACAGCTAAACATGCATGATTCTGTTTTCATAAAAGTCAGTGAGCCACTTGAGGAGGAATGACATAGCATATAGAAACCAATGTGTTACCAAGTGACATCAGCACCAACCCGTTGCACTTACAAGCTTTTATAAACTCAAGGACTCAAGTAAGCCTACATGAAACAGGAGACGCCATGATAGGTGCATTCACTTGTGTGTCTGTCTGCAGAGTGTTTGGTTGTCAGGACAGACAGGTAGAGGAACAGAGATGTTCTCCACTTAATCAATGGCTGATGGCCTCATACGTTTGGAAATACAAAATAATTAACAATTAAATACACCAAATTTGGAGCTTCTGTGAACTATCTCAGGTAGTTGATGAATCTTGAATCTTTTTTTTCTTTCTAAAAAATATGTTTCAATAATAAAAGCTGCTCAAAGAATATTATATTTTATGTGTAACACTTCCACTGCACCGTGTATTCGTGAAGCTGTAGTCAAGAAGAAACCTTTACAGCAGAAGTGTCACTAAAATAACAGAAGTGCATTAATCATTTCAGACACAGATACACAAACTAAAACATCTTTACTTCCAATCAAAAGACAAAGTTTAAATGATCAACCTTTCTAGATGGTGACATTGGTTGAATCTCGATGCCCTGCTATTGTCTCACTGCTCCATCTGCTGGTCAAAGCAGGACAGTGCAAGGCTTTTCTCCCTAAACGGTGTTGCATATTATACTTACAATCACAACCTTCTGTTCATTATTGCTTTACTTGCTGTCCTCTTGTCCTTCCCTTTCTTCTTCTCCTCCTGTAAAGTGTTTTAATGAATGCTGTGAGGTAATTAGTCTTCACTTTCTTTTGAGTGTGCACTAAGGTAACAACTTCTCTCTTCTTGCAGTCACAGATGAGGATACAGTTAAGAGGTACTATGCCAAGTTTGAGGAGAAATTCTTCCAGGCATGTGAAAAAGAACTTGCCAAGATCAACACCTTCTACTCAGGTAACGGCTATGACTGATAACAATGCTGTTTTACACACAGTAAGAACTCAGTCATGAAGCTATAGCTCACATCATGTTGTGCTCTTTGTCTCTTGCATGGCTTTTTTTAAAACTGCCTTTCTATCGTGTCTATGCTTATTCTTCCAGAAAAGCTCGCTGAGGCTCAGCGCCGATTCGCCACACTGCAGAACGAGCTGCAGTCATCGCTTGACGCCCAAAGGGAGACCTGGGCTAACGAGCGGGGCCTTAGGAAGAGGAAGACGGTGTTCGCCCTGTCACAGCAGGAGCGATGCAAACACAGAAACATAAAGGACCTCCAGCTGGCCTTCTCTGAGTTCTACCTCAGCCTTATTCTGTTGCAGAACTATCAGGTTACACATTCACACACATCCCAACAGGAGAACTATTTCTACACATATATTCTCATATAACCTTCTACTGACAGTATTTGTACTCTGCTCTCGACGCCTGTAAAATATACAGATAGGTCTGGAAATATCAGCAAGGCTCTTGAGTAGATCTAATGGTTTAAAAGTTCATCACTCATGTACCTCCGTTTTTAGGTCTACAGATCAGAATGTGTTCAGTTTAAGGAACAGCAGAAATGTAGACAGTCATATTTTAGTCATTCATTGTGAAAGTTGTCGACAGGTATCAGGATCTTTTTCTATCTAAGACTTTCTGTTAACAGTCCCTCGAAAGTAGAGAACTTACAATCCACTATGGGACGGGTTGCACATGTAGCCACTCTGTAGCCCAACTTTATTAGTCAACGCAGAATGAATGTGACCTGTATTGCCCTGAGGGTACTCCATGCACAGAGAGCATGAAATCATAAAAAGATAACAACCATACAACACAAATAACATCTAGTTAAAGGACAAAACGCTCTGCATGTGTAAAATCTGTCTTTTCTCCTTCTGTGTCTCTGCAGAATCTGAACTTCACAGGCTTCAGGAAGATCTTGAAGAAGCATGATAAGATTTTGGAGACGTCGAGGGGGGCTGACTGGAGGGTTGCTCATGTTGAAGTTGCCCCATTTTACACGTGCAAGAAGATCACACAGCTCATCTCTGAGACGGAGGTGCACACTCTTTTAGATTTTCATGAAAACATGGTTCATTTCATCAAAGCTTGTGAGCTTTATTGTAGTTAAGGGGTAATCCCTACATTTTTAGTTTTACCTGGCTGTATTTCTACATAGTTTGTGGTCTACACCATGCAGCTGTTAAATAAGCTGCAATGTTTCATATTTAACTTTCTGGGATAATTATGAAAAGTATGTCTAAAACAAAAACAGCTGAATCTTTCACTCGGACTTCACCCGGAGTTTCTCCTGCCAGCCCCCTAGTACTTTTTCCGCAGCAAGTCAGAGTGGACTGATGTGAGAATGCAGCAGGATATACTCCGGATAATTCAGCTCGGGCCAATAGGAGGTGCAGTGACTGTATGCCCACGACCACTATGATCTCTGTGCACGTCATTTAACTGCTGCATTATGTTTCCTGTTCTTCAGTATGTTCTTCTCCACTCTTTAGTTCAGATTCTGATTCCATTGAACTACATGTAACATTGATATGAAGGCAAATATTATCATTATAGCGTCATATAAAGGACACTGTCCTCTTTTTTAAGTCACGTCTTACGTCGGGAGACCCCCCCTCCTGTCTGACAGCGATAGTCTCCCGTTGTGAGAACAGCCAGGTCGGGAGAATGTCCTGAGCAATCCTGAAATGATCTAGATGTTTTGTGCGTTTTATCCTGCGGTCTGTAGAATTGGACCCGTGCAGGACTCTGGATCAAATCAAATCTTCCTGCTCATTTAAACCCAAAAAGTATTGAATAGAACAGCCCATGTGTCATTACCAGAATTCTCCTATGTTCAAGATCATTTTAGAAGGTTGAAAATGTAGAGTCAGGAAGTCACATTAAGAAACCCCCCCTACCCTCCCCCTGTCTCTTAGGCACTGGTCACAACAGAGTTGGAAGGTGGAGACCGGCAGAGGGCCATGAAGAGGCTGAGGGTACCTCCCCTGGGAGCGGCACAGGTCAGACACACACATGCACACACACACACACACACACACAGTTAGGAGCTGCACAACACTGAAATGTTTTATATGTAACATTATCTGAAGAACTCACAAGCCTTTTTCAGATTGCAGTTCCGCAACAGCGCCATAATGGAGCTCCTCTGTCGTTTGATTTCACATTGCGTTACTTTGTTGGGGAAGCTCAATGTGCATATACGCATTGGGAGCTTCAGAAACACTCAGACAAGCACACACACAGCTCTGTTCCCCCCGGATGGCTCAGCCAATCCCGTCTCTCCCCTGTAACGCCTCTGTTGCTACCCAGCGTGGCACAGAGGTGGGCTTACTTCGTCCCCCCGTTGTGCCTCCATGACACTGAAGGTGAGACATCAGAGGGGGGTGAAATGTTGTCTGGATAGAGCTACAGGACATATTCCTACCCCCTCTGTTGTCTTTTTTTTCAAAGATTAATAAGCACAACACTTTTGTTGCTTTGTTTTTTTAAGTTTTTCTTCCAATCGAGCCTGTGGAGTCTGTGATTTTAAAAAGCACAGAGGCTCATCAGGGGGAAAGTTGTTGTGCCCTGAGCTAGCATTGTAATAACAGAAGCTAGACAGCAGAGTGTGTGGGTGTGTGTGCATATCTGAGTGTGTGTAATACACACACAGTCTTACACATTGTTTGTCTCATGCTTCCCTGATGCCATAACGCTGTGTTCAATCATACACTAGACACCACCTGTATAAGGCTGCTGAGGATTCAGTGTAAAAATACTAAGGTGTAGTGATGACTGAACTTGGTTGTGGCGCTGTGCAGACTTGAATTCTCAAACAGGTTTGAGGTAGTGTATATTATTTGTACTAAAGTTCAGGGATTCATCTTAAAGCCAAAAGGCTTCTGGTTTTTTTATTTTTTTAATGACATCAATGAAGTTGGCATTGTTTATATCTAAATATCACTTTACTTCTTTTGAAATGTGTTCACTGAATCGTACTTTTTGGTGTTGACTGATTGACTGTCTGTCCCCCCTCAGCCTGCGCCTGCCTGGACCACCTTTAGAGTCGGGCTTTACTGCGGAGTGTTTCTCGTCCTTGTAGTCACTGTGGTTATTACAGGTAACACGCACAAGACACACACTTAAACACACACACGTGTCTCAAATAGACTTGTTCAATGCGAACAACCTGCTGAATTCTAAAAATGATTGTAACATGAAGAGGTCTGAAACTTTGAATCATCTCGTGACTCCGTTTTTTTACTTACTAAAATACGACAGAACAATCTTTCCAGGCTGAAAATATACTGATAATATTCTTACCAGCATTAGTCACAGCCAAGCAGTAACATTCAGGACTTAAAAACAAAAACACCAAGTCAAGAAACTGCAGTTTGCACAATGTTAACTTTAGGGCTGGTTTCAAGACCAAGTCAGTCCACAAAGAGCAACAGTTTGAATCCAAACCTGAGTACTGCATGACTCCATTCTGTGGGCAATACAGCCGTCATCTATCTGATTAACCCACTATGTCATGACAGCTTCACCCTCTTTCTAAATATGCTCTCTCCTGAAAAACAAAGACGGCCATGACCATACAAGTCAGACGTCACTTTAAGGAATCATTCAGATTTCCTATGGTGTTGTAGTGATCAAGAGTGAGGATACTTCACACTATGAATGGTGCCCCTGTTTGAAATTGTGGCCAGAGTACTGACAAGAAAGAAGTCTATTTACTGCTGTAGACTGTAGAGAGACAAGTTTGAACCACTTACAAGTCCTATTTAAAAAAACAAAAACAAAAACAAAAAACATGGGATTAAGTGTGAGTGCTATTTTTGATTATTTCCAACACTTCATCTTGACGTCGCAGCACATTTGAAAAAGCGTCCACTTCTTAAAAAGGCGTCATTCTTTTTCCTGTTTCCTTTTTCCATAGGGTTGTATGTAAAAAAAAGGCGCTGGCAGTGTGAACACGGCCTTAATCACTACATTTCTTTGAGATTGGTTTGATTACAATTAAAATGAAGGAATTGGCATTTTAGATTTCTTTCTTCTTTTAAATGTCAAAAAAAAAAAAAAAAACGTAATCCAGAGGCTTGAATCTGTTCCACTCATTCAGTGGGTTTAAAATGCAGTCATGGACTAATTTGATTAAAATCTCAATGTACCAATCATGTTGTGACTGATATTTAATGTTACAAAAATGAGAAAATTCAGTGTGAACTTTTGATCATCTTAACGGCTTCATTGAACATGATTTTCATGCAGCATTAGAGGCATGAACGCTGTACAGCAGGCAAACAGGAAGGACATTTCTGATAACAGCAAAAAACAAACAAACATTGGCTGCCCTGTTAAGTATAAATACATTATGAAGAGGAGTCTGCTGTTGATGCCCCATGGTTCTGCACATGTGTGATTTTCTTTTGTCTATTGTTCATCAAACATCTCTCTCTCTCTCTCTTTTTCTCCCTCCATCTTCTCTGTCACCAGGAGCTGTGGTAATCAAGCAGGATAATGTGTGGCCCATGGTCAGGATCTACAGAGGAGGCTTCCTTTTAATAGAGTTTCTCTTCCTTTTAGGTAAATACACGTGCACACACACACACACACACACACACACACACACACACACACACACACACACACACACACACACACACACACACACACACACACACACACACCGTGTCCCTACCTCCAAAATGTGGATGTCATAATAAAGAAACACTTCTGCATCCCTCTTGTTAAGCTACATGACCAAAAGGCATCCACATTTGAAACCAAAGAGCCAGATCCAGCCAGATACAAGAGGCGGCTGTGGCTCCGGGGTTGAGTCGGTAGTAGCAGCCTCTACCATCAGTGTGTGAATGTGTATGAATGGATGAGTTAATACTGATGGACTCTTTACTCAGCAGCCTCTACCATCAGTGTGTGAATGGATGAGTTAATACTGATGGACTCTTTACACAGCAGCCTCTACCATCAGTGTGTGAATGGATGAGTTAATACTGATGGACTCTTTACACAGCAGCCTCTACCATCAGTGTGTGAATGTGTATGAATGGATGAGTTAATACTGATGGACTCTTTACTCAGCAGCCTCTACCATCAGTGTGTGAATGTGTAGGTGTGACCTGCAGTGTAAAAGTGCTGAGTAGTCAGAAGACTAGAAAAGAGTCTGTTTACCATTTACTTAATGTATCATATTTGTTATTGTCAGTAACCTGTTATACAGTAAACATTAGGAAGCCACTGACCTGAACTTCTTTTCTAAATATAACTGATGTCATTTCTCCTCAAATTTTTATGTTCATAGATTTGTAAATGCCTTTCTGTGTAATGTTTATAGATAAATGACGCTTTAACATTATGTTTTATACATGTTTATGTTTATTTAGAATGTTCTTTCAAACAATCCTTGTTGACAAATATGTAAGAAGGCTCAAAATGTTGTGGTGATTTAACTCTCAGGCATCAACACTTATGGCTGGAGACAGGCTGGAGTTAACCACGTTCTCATATTCGAGCTCAACCCGAGAAACAACCTGTCCCACCAGCATCTGTTTGAGGTGAGTGCACATGTGACTATTTAAAAAGGAGCTGATCGAATTAACATGATGTTTATCTGTTTGTGTTTGAAGAGACTCTCTTCACTCAAAGATTCTCTGATGACTCCTGAAGCAGAACTTGCTAACATGTTGTGTGTGCGTGTGCGTGCGTGTGTGTGTGCAGATTGCAGGTTTGTTGGGAGTGCTTTGGTGCGTCAGCCTGCTGTGCTGTCTGTTCAGTCACAACATCCTGGTACCGATGCAGGCCAACCCGCTGGCTCTCTACGGCCTCTTCTTCCTCTTCTTCATCAACCCCTTCAAGACCTGCTACTACAAGTCGCGCTTCTGGCTGCTCAAACTCCTGGTATTATCACAAATTAAATCTACGTTCTGTTTTTCTGTCGGTGATGTGAGGAAGCAGCCCCTGATGTCTGCAGAGCGTCCTTATATTCATATTTATTTGGGCTTGCACGTTAACAGATCAGAGCCCTCACTCTACTGGTGATAAAAACAGAAAGTGCCTTTGAGTTTTCAGGGTGTGTTATGATTTCATGTACAGAGTGTTTTGTGTGGAGCAGCATTATTTGTTATATTTGAACCCACTCTTGAATTGAGTCAACGATGTGTTCCTCATTGACCGAGCATGCTTATCATAGCTGACCTTTGACATGTTGAAGACACATTGCTACAGACTCTTTGACACTGTCTTCTCTGTGACTATCTCTTGTAGTTTCGAGTGGTGACGGCTCCGTTTCATCGGGTTGGCTTTGCAGACTTCTGGCTCGCTGACCAGCTCAACTCTCTGGTGGTGGTTCTGATGGATCTGGAGTACATGATCTGTTTCTACAGTTTTGAACTGGACTGGAAAAAACACGACGGCCTCATTAACAGTGCAGGTGAAACAGAATCAAAGAAACACTCTGCGGGGGGGTTTTGTGTTGGATAAGGCAGACTTATGATGACACACCATGCTGTCTTTATGTCATTTTCAGCAGGTAAAGATGTGTGTAATTCATACTCCTATGGCGTCCGTGCGGTGATCCAGTGTCTTCCTGCTTGGTTCCGATTCGTCCAGTGTCTGCGGCGTTACCGTGATACCAAGCGGGCCTTCCCTCACCTGGTTAACGCTGGGAAATACTCCACTTCCTTCTTCGCTGTCACTTTCGCTGCCCTGTACAGCACACACAAAGGTAGAATGGATGCTCAGACTAAGCACATGTTGTTTTTTTTTGTATTCACTGACAGAGGGCACTACGCCCTGTCATTTCAATGACTTGAATCTTCAGCCTAGAAGACGACTCGGGTGTCTACATGTTGTCTTTTGCTTTTGCATTTGTTATTTAGCAGCATAATTGTACAAAGAGCAGTGCAGGAGGAACTGAATGTCAGGCTGTTAAACACTAAAAGAGTCTCAAGTTGACCCTTCAGGGTTCAGGCGAAGCATCCACCAAGTCCCTTTAAAAAATATTCAAACCACTAAATAAAGCTTCCTCATGTTCATTAAATCAGTGTTTGACAGCTGCAGGTTATCATGAGTGGCTGTGAGCTGAGGTGCCTTACCTCTTATCTAAACTGTCGGCTCATTTAAAGGTGGGGATTCAAATGATTAAAACATCCATATCTGTTCAACTGACCTACAGAGGCAAGTACAGCTCAATTATGAAATACACCTTCACTTAAAAACAGACCCGTGTCTCTAATTATCCCTGCTGTGTAAAGTTATTCTGATTCAGTGTTTCCCACACATAGACAATACCAGGGCAGGCCACACAGGTTTATTTATGGCCACCCAGTAAGTAGGTAAGTCTTGGACCTTTTTATGAATAAACCATGAAGTCACCGCACACACGGGAGAGAGAACGAGGGAGAAGCACGCGAGAAAAAGAGAGAGAGAAGTCCGGTGACTGTACGTCCCTCCCATAAAAGAACCGATGGAGGGGGATGCGTCTCATATTAAAACTGCAGCTTCCTTATGCTGCTGGTTTGATATTGGTTTTGCGTGCATGTGTGTAATGGCGCGGTGGTGGAGTTAGTCTCCAGATGTGCGTTTACACAGGAATATGTGTGTGTGTATGTTCGTAGAAGGGGGAGAAAAGACGAGAAAAGAGAAATGCGTGCCTGAAGAGGCCGGATCACAGTCTGAATCCCGCGCCACAACTCGGAGTAATTCCCTTCATTCACAGAAACAAACCAATAGCCGAATTCAACTTAATACGGCTTACACTGGCCTTTCTGATCAGAAGAGTAATACCCGGTTATAACGCTGTTACGCTAAACACATATAGGACGCAGCGGTCCGAAACAACAACAAGAGTTTTAAACAGATAAACTCAGGACGCAGCGGTCCAACAAAGATAAAAATTACAGTTTCTGCATCAATCAAACAATTGTTAAAAACACTCTCTAAAGCTAATTCTGCCCAGACCTAATTAAGCCTCACTTGTGAATCGCTTTGCCTGCGATTGGTGAAAGGGAAAGATTCCGGCGATAAAACAGATCTTCTGTCCGTCCTGGTGCAGAGGCGTCTGATGGCGGCGAGGGTCCCTTACGGCGAGAGCGGCTTCGTTGGTTCTCCGTCGAGTGGAAAGATGTCCGTTGATGTCCTTTTGTTGCAGGACGGAATAAGACCGTTATCTTTCTGATAATCTGTTATAGTCTGACGCTCTCCGGGAAACTGAGATGCGTTCACTGGACAATCGGAATTCAGAACACTGCCGGCCGCGGATTACCTGCGTGCCAAAACTTAAAACAAAGGAAGATTGTTACAGAGAACAGGAGGTGAGCTTGTGTCTTCGAACACTTGAAGTCAGCGTGTGGAAAGAGAGAGAGAGCAATGGAAGTGTCAGAGTTTTGTCACCTGGCCTCCTTCCTGTTGGGTCTCCCTCAGGTTCCGGTCCCCCCTTTACGTCACACGTAGGTGTGAAGTACTGCAGGGGATTCTGGGATAAAGAGTCCTTTTAGGCCTCTTTGTGATCTCAGTGACTCACTCAAATGAGGCTTCCCACAGGGGTGCAGGCCCAAGTCCATTGTTTGACTGTCCTAAGCCTGCGTGGCCCAACACCACGTTTTCTAAAATGTAGTGATAATTATTTTCTGTTCAGTCTTCATGCATTAGAAGAGCTTCTCCTATTGTCAGAAATCAAAGTAAAACCAGGATGACAGATTTGATTAAAGTCTGAGTGTTTGACTCCTTCAGCTTTAATCTCGTCAACAAAATAAATGTCAACTATGACAATGACGAGATGAAACTCCGCTATTTGACGATTTGATAAATAATATTACTTCATCGTCTAATTGACGAAAATGTGACGAAACAAAAACTACATTACAAGTGAGGATTATCACGTACCCCCCTCAGCTGTTCTAAAATCATTGTAAACCATAGCAGACTTCATCAAAGGTGTGTGTGTGTTGCCTGCAGGTCCGTGAAGCCCCGCCCCCTGGAGCTTCTGCTAATCAAAATAAAAGCTTGAGTCTGATTTTGTTGACGAACATATCTTCTATTTTCTTCAACTAAAATGATGTGTAATTTTAGTCAGTGAATAATTGACTAAATTAAATCAATAACAAATGACTAATATCTGACTAAATATAAAGGACATTTTCATCAGGAGACTATGACTAAATTAGAAAATGGTGTGAAGATTAACACTGCTTCTTCATGTAAGTGATTCATCAATGGGAGCTTTAAATGAATATTTTCCATCTTATTTATGCCTTACTATGCCAACATCTTCAGCTGATCTCATTTCACACTTTGCTCTTTCTCTCCCCCTCTTAGCTGAAAACCATGCGGACACCCAGATCTTCTTATACCTGTATGTCAGCTGTTTATTGGTCAGCTCGTGTTACACACTGGTCTGGGATTTAAAGATGGACTGGGGCCTTTTTGACCGCAACGCAGGAGAGAACACCTTCTTGAGGGAGGAGATCGTGTACCCACATAAGGTATTTGAAACACCTGTTGTTTTCAACATGAGCTTCTAATGTGTTGTGTAATCTTCTCACTCTGTCTCTCTCTCTCTCCAGGCCTATTACTACAGTGCCATAGTAGAGGATGTGCTTTTACGTTTCTCATGGACTCTGACCGTCTCCCTCAGCACAGTCACTGGTCTGCACGGCATCTCTGACATACTGGCGACTGTCCTGGCCCCAATGGAGGTCTTTCGGTAAACACATTGAGTTTTCTCTCCTTTTTCTCTTTTGATCTTCCCTTTCTACGTCTTTTGATTTTGTCTAAAGCTGAATTATTTTCCAGCACAAAACTGGAAACTTTTTTTTAATTTTAATGTTAAGGCCAATTCAGATGAAACATTTACAACAAGAGCACTATGTTTTAGACCTGCAGCAGTGTGATCTGAGCTGTGACTCTATGAGCTTAAGGTGTGTCCCATGTTTCAGCAGCCTATTAGCTCATAGTTAGGCAGCTGATTGACAAGTGTGAGACACACAGTAGAATCAAATATCAACAGCAGACGACTGCATAAAGGAAATCACACTGTTCTTAGTAGAGATGCTAATCACCAGTCCATGAAATCATGAATCATTCTGTTCCCTTACACAAGCGAGCAACATTTAGTGATGTTGTTTGATGACACGAAACTACAAATGTCAAGATAAAAACAACAACTTTTCAGCTCTGAATCCTCTCATGATTGGACTTCTCATGGAGGACAGCGTTCTGTTTCTCATCGTCTAAGGGCTCGGCGTACACTGTGGTTGTATAAATGTTGTGGTGAAGGTAATCTATCACACCTGTAGTGGATAAGATGAACAAACCAAAGCTCATGAATGATGTGCTCACACTGTATAGTCCAATTGTTGAGCACAACCTGAGAGCCCAGACTGTGCGCGTTAAATCAGGACGTAGAGTTCGAGTCAGGTCGATGTTTATTTCATCTGCCTAAATATAATATAATAATAATAATACATTTTATTTATAAGCGCTTTTCAAAACCTCAAAGACACTGTACAATAGTTAAAAACAGAAAGATCAGCACAGTAAGGACAGACTAACAGACATTGCAACATTACACACAAATCATAAAGATAACAACAATAAAGGTAAAACTACAGAAAACAGGAACTACATCTAAATCATACATTAAAAGCTTGTTTGAAGAGGTGAGTTTTGATCAGTGATTTGAAAGTAGGAGGGTCGGTGCAGTGTTGAATGTGTGTAGGGAGTGAGTTCCAGAGGGAGGGGGCAGCTATGGAGAAGGCTCTGTCCCCCCAGGTTCAGTGCTTGGTTTTAAGAGGGGGAGATAGGAGGTTGGCTTTTGAAGAACGGAGGTTGAAAATGTGTATGAAATACACATCGAAATACCAAAATCTAAAATTCTCCTGAACTTTAGCAGATTGTAGGACACAATGGTGAGGCTACATTATGCTTTGCTGCCCTGTCACGGTTCTGAATCTCAGTGGAGATAGTTAGTATGCAAGATGCCTCCATCCTTAGTAACTCGGCTCCGGACGGGAAACATCTGAAAAGGATGAAGGTGTGTGTGAGAACGTAGAGAAATGTTATCCACTAGCATGTCTTTTTCCTCCGCAGACGTTTTGTGTGGAACTTCTTTCGATTGGAGAATGAACACTTGAATAACTGTGGTGAGTTCCGGGCCGTCCGAGACATCAGCGTGGCTCCACTCAACGCTGATGACCAGACCCTGCTGGAACAGATGATGGACCAGGAGGACGGAGTCCGGAACCGCCAGGGCAAGAAGAGCTGGAAGCGGAGCTACAGCATGAGCCTACGCAGGCCGAGACTGGCCTCACAGTGAGTGTTCACAGTACCTGATGCAAACAACATACTTTACAATAGAACTGCTTCACACTGGCACTCCTTGTGACAGGACGGTACTGAAGGTAACAGTCTAGTTGAGTGGAAGTGGAGTGCTCATTACCTCACTAAACATTTTGATGGTCTTGATAACTTTTTGTTTTATTTTGATTTCCCTCCATTTCACTCTGAATGGATTGTATTTGAAATCAAACTGAAGGTGTGGTGTACTTAAAGGTGTGCCTCCCAGTGATTGATCAGTCGGCATGTATATCCATCCACAGTCACTTCTAGCCCCCCAAAAAGAAGAAATTGTTTATACACAGATCTCTTCCACCCTGTGATTTAAACTGGTTGAAGCACTAAATGAAGGCCCTGCCCTGCTCTCTCTCAGGTGGCCTTTGTCAGAGCCTCCATGGCTCACAAGCTCATGAAAATCCTGCTAAAGACAAAATCAAAAAGAAAGTTGTGGTCTGAAATGTTGAAACAATCGATACCACATCAAACACATCCAACCATATTCAATTGGTCTGACAAAGTTCAAAGTCTGTTACAGCCTAACCGACCACTTGACTCATGAAGTGTATTTAAGATATAAGATGTACTTTATTCATCCCAGCTGGGAAATTTAGTGACATCTTGACCCACTCTCACAGTCTGTTCTTTTCATGTAACCAGGTTGAGCCGGATGATGTGATTGGTTTTAAGATAACTAATGCATTCTTTTTATTTGACCCATAGATGTAACATCAGCGTTATTTTAAAGGATTCTTTGTTTTTGTTGAGCCCGGTTGAATGAGATCCTGATGAAGAAATGTGTACAACCCCAAAAATATAGACGGAAACAAATCTGTGTTGTACAGCTCATAGAACAATTTACACTTTAAGGTCACAGCGAAGGTTCCCACAGAAGAGTCCTATGAGCAGTGAGAGTGACGAGAAGCTGACACATGTTGGAGCTGTTTGAACAGCGTCTGCTCACAGAGGCTGCAGGCTGCACTGTTCACACTCTTCACTGCTAAACTAACTCACATTCAAACTGATGATCAATTGAACATTTGTTTTTCTTCTGAGTAACGGCACACTCCCTCACGCTCACTCGTCCAAGACTGCTCTCTCTCTCTCTCTGTCTCCCTCTGTCTCCCTCTCTCTCCCTCCCTCTCTCTCTCTCTCTCTCTCTCTCTCTCTCTCTCTCTCTCTGTCACTCACTCAAGGTGCAGACCCAGCGTTTTCTTTAACAGGCTGTTTTTTAAATAATGAGAGTATAAAGTTTAAAAACTCAGAATTGTATGCTGCCTAGGATGACTTTGATAACTTTGAGTTGTATCAGTCTGCAGGATGTATTAGAAACAACTTACAGACTACTACAGCAAACAGCAACAGCAAAGATTCACTCCGCCACCCATCGTACTGCGCGTTCTGCCTGCTCGCCTCTTACACTGTAAATATTACATTCTCCTGCCTGGGAGCTGGAGTCTTTCCTGCGCCGTCCACTTTGCCATTTCATTTTCGAGTTGGTGTGAATTATGATCACTTTTTAGCACGGCAAGTTTGAAAACGAAAAGCCAAAGACCTTTCCGTTTTCATTTGAATGATGTCATACAATATGCATACATAGAGAGTAAAAGTATAATGCAAACTGGATGACTGAATATTCATTTTAAAGGTCAAATAATGCACCTATATTCTGAAAATTAAAACATGTTTCTGTTACTGTATTTTCATTTTAAAATGATCTTTTTCAAATGAAAAAGTAATTTTCTTCTTCATTTTAATTTAGTCAAAGAATGTGCATTTTTGAAGTTGAAAACTAAAATGCAAATTAGAGTCAAATAAATGTTTGAGTCAAATAATACACCCATATTCTGAAACTTGAAAAGCATTTCTGTTAATGGATTTTCATTTTCAAATTAGCTTTATCATTTGAATTCTGATCACTAGTTGCTTCCATATAAGGGCTCAACATAAGTTTAAATGTTTTTATAGCTGTTGGTTTGAAGTCCCTGTTCTATCAGAAAAGGATATTTGATGTTGAGACATTGCTGTAAACACTCCTTGTTTTTCTTCCCTCAGGTCCAAGACCCGTGACACCAAGGTGTTGATAGAGGACACGGACGATGACTCCTGACATCAGGCCACGCCCATCGCCTGGGTCCAGAATTTGTTCAAAGGAGGAAACTCTACCTCCTAACTGAGAAATGACCCTGTGCGTTGGGCGTTGAACTTCAAATCAAAGACGAGTTTTGAGCTCTCATGCCTAATGTAATCACTCTTCCAATGCTTGAGCCTCCCATGGGGTTCAGAACTTTTACAAATGAAGAGCGATGATCTTTTGAACAAATAACACAGCAAACATTACCACCAAACTCCTGCTCCTACCTTCAGTTCTACTTATGGCTGGGCTCATCACTTGAACTCTACGTTACACAAAGTGTGGACTCCTCCTACAGCCACTCCTCAGACATGTTCATGGCTCTCCTCAAAGCCTCTGCCTAGCATGAAACTCCCAGCTCCAATGGAACGCATGCAGATGAGTCTGACAGGAAGCTGCTCCCTCTCTGTGCCCTACATCCACAGCACAGGAAGTGACCAAGTTTAAACTACTGACATTGAGGACCAAAAACTTTGATTCCTTGTCTATAACTCTACGCCTCCACTCCCTGCTACCCCGGTAACGTTTGAGAAACATCTTGAATAAACTCAAGTTCTCAGAATGAACCTCATGTCCCCTTTCCTCCAGTTAGAAAATCAAAGTGTTTAGTAGTGTCGTCCTCATGTGGCAAACGATATGCTGCAAACACACGGTAGCAGCAATCAGTCGCCTGACTCCTCTGCTCTTAAGCTCTCCCCTTCAAATCATCACAAAGCTGCCTACCTGCACCTCACATGCTTTACAAACACGCACTTTGTAATAGATTCAGTCGGAGGGAAATGCCTATTGTGTGTTGAAATGCACGCAGACAGTGATTTGATCTTTTGTTCCTGGACGTCCACTTTTCAAGACCCTGGAGGGAAGACGCACATCCTGAGTACGTATGCTAGCCATTCTTTGTTACAGCAGATGTAAATATGAGACGGACCAAAGTGAAAATATTCCTAAAGTATCAAATAGTCAGTAAAAAGAAGTTCAAAGTGAACAGCAGCTGGAATGCTGAGAAGGATCTGAAGAGGAGGAAAATATTGACTTTGTTCCACAACTAGATGAAGATCATCTTAACTCAATCACTCCATGTGGTAAAAAACGATCCTCCATGTGGACGTGTTCTGCTGAATGTATGACACTTTATTTATGTGTGTATGTAAGAAAAGGCCTAACGAGCACCTTTCAACCCGTTTAACAGGATCACTTTTTGGTAACTTTAAGAGTTTCATGTGTCCCGAAGGAAATTTTCATTTTTGTTCCCTGACGTCTTGATTGAAAAAAAAAACTAACCAAGTGTTGAGATGTTTGTTATAAATGATTCATTGTTGTTCTTTAAAAGAGACAAAGAGAAGGAGAAGGAGAAGGAGGGGGAGGGGGGGTCACCTGTCTGTCACGGATTGGTCCAACTTCAATCTGAACCGAGAAGGGCCAATGTTTTTTTATTTTCTGAGCAAAATGATTTGAAAAGATGTGTGTGTAGTTTTTTAGTTTCATTTTATTCTTCAGCACATTTAGTCCGTCTACTGTGTTTTCTAAAAACAGCAGCTTTAGCAGAGAGAAGAAGAAGTGTCCTGTTGCTCCAGCTCTGTAAAGTGTTCTGTCTAACCCACAGGAAGCTTGTAACGTCAGCAGAAAGGTTAATCTTAACTCGTAGAGCGAAACATACAAACTAACCTAAATATTGATGCAGAAATGACCTTTAATCTCATGTGACCAATCAGTGAAGAGCATTTTTTTCTGAATGCTTTTGTTTGACACAGCGCTGCCTCTCGTGCTCATACTGTCTCTGTAAAGACTGACGGCTGAAAATCACTACTGTTCACTGACGTTGATCGAGAAACAGCAGCGACAGTGTTTGTAAATTATGACATCATGATCATCTTAAATCTGCAGACTTCATCTACAGCCTGTGGAAAATAAAAACACTGACACCCAGTGGTGAGATCTTCAACTACAACATTACTCTATTATTGAACACTCTGCTCCTCCTCATCCTCCAAGTCATACCACTACTCAAAACCATCACCATGACAACCGTATTCCACAGAGGGCTTGACTCCTGCTATGAGCTATAGGTGTAAGATTTGAGATCAAACTTCTTCCTGCACTGGAACCATCTCAGCTGGTTTGTATTTAAGCAGAGCTTTTAGTGGAGCAGGTGAAGACACTGTCATGACTTACTCTGTGTCTCCCTTTATCCTGATTGTTTAGTAAAATGTGTATTTTCATCTTTTCTTACATCATGGCAGCTAGAGAGTCATCTGACTGTTTTCTGTTGACATCAACTGTTTTTCTTTTCACTCGTTCATTCCAGTCCTTCCAGCATTTCTGTTTTAATTTGCTGGAAATAACATAAAACTTTCTGCAGCGTAACACATCACTAATAAATAATGACAGAAAGTGTTGCTTTACGACATGCCGACAAAGAGACAGGTCCGAACAGTTTGTTCTGTGAAGAGACATGTAGCTCCTCTGAGCTTCATGATGGAGGTACATCCATTCCCCTCGTACTTTAGTTTGGCCCAATCGCTCTCCATAGTTTGTTCCAGTTGATACCAAGTTACTAAATATACACAGGAATACTAAATCTGGACTGACTGGAGGTTTGATCAGTGCGTTGTGTTCAGTGTTAGCTACGCTTTGTTCCCACACTTAGGGGTCCGGATGAAGATGATCCTGGGGGGGACACTTAGCTTGTGAACCAAAAAGATGGGAAAGACGATAAAATGTTAAATTTATACCAGGAAGAATATTAACTTTACAAAATGAGGATATAGTTTAATGGATTAAATTACAAATCACTCATTTGATGTTGCTTTAAGAGAGGTCAACTACCTGTTGCACCGAGAGAGTGACCTTTGGACACGTGGAAACTCATCAGGATGCTTTAAGGTTTCTGAAGCAGATGTTATACCGATACAAACTTCATATGCAGAGATGGAAAAACGTCATCTCTAAAGTCCTCCCCGTCCTGTTTCGCTCACTTAGGTTTACTTCAGTGTTTATCCAGATCATCATGCAGGAGACTGAGAGGCAGCGCTCACGTTCTGTGGACGCAAACGCACCAAATCTCCAGCTGACCTTTAACCATCTTTCTCTCACTGATACACAAACAAGCTTTATGCTTCATGCTTCAAACCTGAAGAGTTCAGGTTTCACACCGATGCTGGACACTGACATTGTCTAAGCAAATCGGTCATGATGCATGATTTAAAAAAAACATAAAGAAAGTCCATTGGAAGTTTAGAGCTGCTCAAAGCAGCTTTTAATCACAGCTGTGTCTCTGTGCTTTCAGTGGATTTGAAAAGTGAATTTATGTAAGGGATCGATTAAAATCTGCAAATCCATCTCATCCAAACTTAACTGTAGGGAACCTTTATCCATAAATATTCTCTGATGACCAATAGAATCTCACATAGCTTACATTTGAAAAGAGGAACAAGGGGATTTTAATTTGTGTATTTAACCCTCCTGTCAGAGTATTTACTGATCCAAAGATTTCAGATTGGAGTCAACAAAGACTGCTCCTGTACCGAGACTTCAAACAGATATGAGAGGTTCAATTTGACTGTTCAGCTTTATGTTGTGACCAAATGAGGAGCGAGCTGACAAACAAGTCTTGAGCTGTGCAGGAAGAAGCTCAAAGTGTCTGACTTCAGTTAGTCCTGCTTTAGACAGGAAAGAAGAAACCAAAGTGTTCTTTCCCTTTAGGACGCCTTCAGTTTTGTTGCATACAGAATGAAAGCAGCATCACCCAGGACATATAATATATAATAATATATATTTTTTAAACTCTAGTTAACAGATTCATCTTTAAAGTCACTTGTTTATTGCATTCCTCTATAAAAACTACAGTAATTGAGTTGTTTGATGTCATGTGGATAGATCCTGAGGTCTTACTCTGTATCTCCTTCTCAGAGCTGGCTCCCACTGGGACATGGAAACCAGTGTTGTGTTTTAGCTCAGCTTACACATCTGGTTTTGCAGATGTTCTCGGGAGTGTAATGGTGAGTTGTTGATGATGTGCTGAGCTCTTTTCTCTGCACACAGCAGGAAGCCAGCCGATTCATCTTTCATTGGACTTCAGGTTTTTGTCGTTGTGACTCTTTACTTTAGGAGAGATTTGATTTTTGTAAAGCCTCATGTTGCCACATGTTTGGTGTGGTATGGTTATCTGAACTAAATAACATTCAGGTTATTTGGACTTCTTTAAACTTTTACATTTTGTCTGATTGTTTTTCTTTCCAATATTCCAGGATAATCACCGTATTCACTCTCAAACAAAATAATCTGAACGATACCGTTTTATAAATGTAGCTGATCTGACTGCTGGTTCTCATTGCTTCCTCGATTATCAGCAACTGAAAGAGCAGGGATAGTAAACACCTGAAGGGACCACGGCCTGTACTTCAAGGTGAAACTAACTCATCGAATGATTCGTTAGTTTAGCTGATACAACACAACGTATAGTCAGAGAGGTGTGAACATTAACAGGCAGGTATGTGAATGTTAACTCTCTATGTTGTTTCTTAAAGTTATAATGTGGTTCTCACTATTTGTGGTCTTTTTTTGTTACTCATTGTTTCCACTTATAACGCACCAAGATGACACTTTAAGTTTCCTGAGTGTGTCAGAGGAACATGGCCACCATCGACAGAAGTTGTGTTTTTTGATGATGTTTGGGACTGTGACAGACGGGTGAATCCTCCTTTTCCAAAGTCCTTTAATGAATTGTGTCTGGTATTTATCCTCCTTTTGTATCACTGTCAATGTAACTGTCAACAACAACAAAATCACAAGTTAGCATAAAGTAGATTTTTTTAGTCAGATTTGTGATCTTGTCCTTTTATTGATAGATAATTACAGATTTTGACCAAAGTTTAGCAAATCTGAGATTTTTTTAGACACTGATGGACAAATCTGAACCTGCAGTTTTCATAATTCAATCTATGAAAGCTCCTGCGTTTTATTGCTATGAAACTCTCATTCCTCTTCCCAAAGTGTAATACAGTAAACTGATGATTGGTTACCCTCTTAGGTATCTTACAGATGCACAAAGAAACCTTTAATGTCTTCATGGGATGCCCCATGCTTTCAACTAATCCTGATGTTAACCCGTCTGCAGCTTCATTAGACCATCAGGGCTTCTGCTCGGGCTATCCACCAGTTGGGAAGTTTGGGGACTAAGTGCTTGGTTTAAGATTTAGGGGCTTCAAAATGTGTCAAAGTCAGCAAAAATTTCACTTATTAGACCAAAGTTTAAGTCCTGTTCTAAATAAAAAATGAAACTTGTGTATTTATTGTTACAAACACTATTCTGTTTTTCCTCAACTTAACCTTTTTATTGTCCAAACATATCCATCAAACCAGTCACAAGCGTTAGCAGGAAGCTAAACTATGCTAAGGGTAACACTTGTTTCAAAGGGAGACAACATCCATCTTTTGTGTTTCTGTGAGAAGCCACAGGCCGACACTATCAAATATGAAACAAAGCTCCCAGTACATAACAACTGTGTATCGCCACACTACTCGTTCCAGATGCATTATGGGGGTATGGAAAGCAGCTTGATGTATTCTAAAGATTTCAGGGAAAAGATCTCAATGGACAAATATGTCTTGTTAAGTAATTCTCCCAGAACAGAATCACCCTGAAGACCTTCAACATGTTTTGATTCTCTATATTAAAGCCAAATATCCTGTAACAAATGATGCTCCCAGGGCTGCAGACGTTAAATGTAATAATGAGCTTAAATGATATTTATTACCTGCTCTGCTTTGCTGTCAGAAATCAGAAAGTCCTAAGGTGTCCAAGGTTCCCTCAAAAATAAGACGATTTGAAGAATATCTGATTTGACTTTAAGTTAGACATTAGAACATATTTCTAGAGCATGGTTTTACAAGACCTGTGAGGGGCAGTGAAGGAGATTTGGCGGTCAGTACACAGCAGCTGAGTTCATTATGGAGTCCAGGGTGGATGATGTAAGAGTTAAACAGAGGATGGTCCTAAACAGTCAGCAACAGATTTCAGCTAGCTGCTGTCCTGAAATATGCAAAAGAAATAGCTCTGTAGATTTTACAGTATGTTGCCGTTATCCATGGGCAGTTCTAGGCAGGGGCCAACAGGGGCCAGTGCCCCTGTAACTCTGAGCTCAGTCCCCCCTTTGGCCACCCCTCCTAAAGGAAGAGCCCCCCTCATAACACATACACAGTGACTCAACAACCGGACTCACAATCTAGTATTAAATACTGTTACTGAAACAATTATAAATCTTGTTATTTAAAGTTGTGTTATTTAACGATGTGTGCTATTGGCATGAGTGATCATCTTTGTGTATTTTTCACCAGGGTTTAATGTTCCCCTCTGACAAAACAACTGGCCCCAGTTTGGCCTGCTCGTTAAAAATGGTCTAGAACCGCCACTGCCGTTATCCTGTGTTACTTAAAGCTGCCACACACTAGACGATTTTATAATCTTAACCGATTTTTAAAATGTAGGAGAGCACAGACGCCAATTTTTCATTTTAGAATCCTCCAAACGCACACACCAGACAACTCGGCCCGACCGGGAGACCACACACACATTTTACAGCAACAAAAAACAAACATTTTGCAGGAGATGTTATAAAGACACTCATTTTGTTGCAATAATTCAACGAGCTGGTCTTCTTTTTTTAATATTCCAGTCGGCTCAGGGCTCAGTTGTGTTTATGTTCATGTCTGTGATCTGTGAACATCCGGTGGCTTCCCTGTCCGCTCCGCTCTCATTGGCTGTTGCAGTTATTTCCATTTGAATCAGCCCGACTAGGAATCGTAAATATCAAACATTCAGAATCAGGGAAGCTCCGACTCGATCAGGAGCAGTAAAATAATCGTAGTGACATCACACACTTGAGGATTATTCCGACAAAACTTCAGGCCACCCCGGCCAAGTCAGTTGGGCCCCCCCAGTCTAAAAAGTCTGGAAACGCCCCACAAAAAAACATTTGGGAAAATGAAGAGTATACCCACTTCTTTAGGCACCACTACACCACTGTCTTTAGGTCCAGGAAGTTCCAGTTTCTGGTGTTGTTGCAAACATCTTGAAAGGCTAAACAAAGCTTAGGAATTAAAAATATTTGGCATGGTGCAGTGAGCCTCCAAGTGGACAAGAATAACAAGACATAATGTTATTAAGAAATGTCTTGTAAAGTCAGAATCTTTTAAAGATGCTTGATGATCTGTGATGAACCCAAAGCTTTCTCTGTACAAAGTTTGTGAGGAACAAACACAACCTTGATCTGTAAAGTTTATCTTAACCAGACTGAAATGGAGCCAAAAACAAAATGAAACACTTTTGCTAATTCGTCTCCATGAACCAGAACTTCTACAGAGCGAGCATTTCTACATGGATGAATCCATTGATTAGGAGGATTGTATGATCAGAGACTGAGTGGTGGGTGTTTGTCTTGTACCTGTTCTTGAACGTACACTGATGGTGACATGTCTGTTTTTACAAAAACAAATGTATTTTACAGACACTGTATAAAAGAAGATGACTAAATTGGTTGTTTTATATCGAGCTGTCACTGTTGAAAAACGAATTTCAAATTCTAAAATAGATTGACAAAGGCATAGAAAGATCAAGAAATGTGTCAGTGGATCCAAATTATTTGTATATTAATCCACAAATGCATCCACGTACAAATAGTTGAACAGTTACAAAAGTCGAGCAATGCAATCCAAAGTGTCAGAGTCACTGTGGAAATCACACTGAATGTCTCAAAAAGTGATTACTGGTCGATAGAGAAGTTGTTTTAGTAATACAACAGCTCATTTCTGCAGGTTCCTTGTGTTGGGTTACCTACTGCTGACCATCAGGGGGCGATATAGTAGAGCTTTAGAGAAGCTGCTGGTAATCCTGCTGTAGGACTGCAGAAGTAAACAAGTAGATGAAGACAGAAGACCTACTTTGCAAAGGTGATGTAACTTAGCTCAGTCTTATTCCCGTGGTAGCCTTGGTTCATATCAATTCTGCGATGGTGTAATATTCTGCTCCCAGTCTGTGAGGTCACATTGTGTTTGCCGTTGTTGAAGAATGGCACAGCAGGAGCTCCACATACACACACAGTCAAACATGCACAAACACAGA